TTCTGTAAACTGGCAGTCAAAAGGAACCTGCAGTGCGAATAATTAACCGTGACTCCAATTAAATGGTCATATCTCATACAGAACCAGTAAGCCTTACTGTTCAGACTACCTGGTCATTTCCAGTATTGTTTGACAACGGTGTAGGGTAGGCCTTGTTTTTGTACTATAAGGGTTGCTTTTCCTTTACTTTTTCTGTGTCAATCAGTTTTATAGTTTGGGATAATTGCCTCGTATCAATATTTCGATCTCTTCCATATCTGTTTGCTATGAATATATTGTCTTTTATTTACATAGGTACCAATTATGGTGTAGATTCTGGCTCAGAAGTGAAAGATGTTGTTGAAAGCCATGCTATTCTTTTAAAAAAATTCATTGTTTAGTGTGGTAATATTGAACAAGGTGTTTCTTATGATTATTTTGTGGAGTTGTGTGCTGAATAACATTTGGAGCACACGTATCTTTTTTTTTAGTTTTTATCTCCCGTTGCCATGTATCTGCACTGTAGCTTAATCAGTTCCACAGGTAAGGGCCGCCAGTGTAAGTCTGATTTCGTTGTATTTGAAAGCTAATTCATTTTTTTTGGAAACGCAGCGGGAGTTTAATAAGTGAAGCTCATTTGCGGTGGACCAGTAGTAAGCACTGATCGCTTCCTACGAACAATAAATGTTTATTTTTGTAGAACGTATTTAACTTGTTTTTATAAAACTTTAGCATATGAACTCATTGTTGACCTTGTATTCTGACTTTATTTCTAAGAATTTGGCGTACTAGACTTTGATTTTATATTCCGAGAATTCGTTTTGTAGGAGGTACGCATAATATCTCGCTTAATTTAATTTTTTAGGCGCTTGTCAGACCTGTCAGGCGTTGGTTTTGTAAACTCCATATTAATATTACCGTTGCCGATTTCAACAGTTCAGTTTTGTATGTCGTAATTTCTTTACACAATCTCATTTTTTCTATAAAAGCTTCCTTTATAGTTGAAAAAGAGTTGGATTCTTCCGGTTATTGAGTGGATATTATTTTTAGTCAAGGACGCAAATAACCTGTAGTAGATTTGTGCGTCCCCAGTTTTTGA